GCTGAGAGTGGAGAATCGCGAAGTTTCTGCTCGCGACCTCGGTGTGGGAGTGGATTCGCCGACTTGGGTTGGGTCTCTTCGGCGCATGGCCTCAGACAAAGGGGGCGGAGAAGAACAGCGGCGGAAACCACTGAAATGCCAGATCTATGGTTGCGAAGATTAAGAATCAGAATAAGAAAAGAGGAGCTCGGTGTCAGCTTTTTGGCCCAATTCCTCTCAAACGGAGAGGATTTAGGATTCTATAAATATGCACTGTTTTGACCCCTTTATGGATTAGCAAATCTATAAATTTTTTCTTGAACCAACTTAAGCATTAGGATTCACTTGAATCCTTTAATTACGAAAATGCCACTGTCAGACCCCAATACTAATCCTATTCTATAATTGGTGAAACAAACAGCCCCTAAGTTTCCACAGCGCTGGTTAGTTTATTCTTGTTATTTGTTTGTATGTTATTCAAGATTATATTTTAGGACATTAGATTATGCATGCACACCCTTCAGTATGACATTTCGATAAAATACTACTTAAACCCAATATATCCCGATTTTGCGCTATCTGATATGGATTTTAACCGTCCAATAAACCCCCTGATAAATGATATTTAAAAGTTTGATTAAAGCACCAATCTAATGCCTAGCACGACTTAGCGCTTTCTACAAACATTGGCATTTATATCAGTGTTTTAAAAAACGTTCCGGCGGGCTGCCTATAACACCCCCGCCTAGGCGGAGGCCGGTAAAACTCACAGGCGCTCTCGAAATGTCACTGAGCGACGCTATTTAGGCGCTGGGAGTGCCTACGCAGCCACTCAGAGCTAAGCGGCCGGCAAGGCAGCCGCCCGGAACGTTTTTTAAAACACTGATAATAAATGCCAATGTTGTAGAAAGCGCTAAGTCGTGCTAGGCATTAGATTGGTGCTTTAATCAAGCTTTTAAATATCATTTATCAGGGGGTTTATTGGACGGTTAAAATCCATATCAGATAGCGAAAATCGGGGATATATTGGGGTTAAGTAGTATTTATCGAAATGTCATACTGAAGGGTGTGCATGCATAATCTAATGTCCTAAAATATAATCTTGAATAACATACAAACAAATAACAAGATAAACTAACCAGCTGTGGAAACTTAGGGGCTGTTTGTTTCACCAATTTATAGAATAGGATTAGTATTTGGGGTCTGACAGTGGCATTTTCGTAATTAAAGGATTCCAAGTGAATCCTAATCTTAAGTTTGGTTCAGAAAAAATTTATAGATTTGCTAATCCATAAAGGGGTCAAAACAGTGCATATTTATAGAATCCTAAATCCTCTCCGTTTGAGAGGAATTGGGCCAAAAAGCTGACACCGCTCCTCTTTTCTTATTCTGATTCTTAATCTTCGCAACCATAGATCTGGATTTCAGTGGTTTCCCCGCTGTTCTTCTCCCGCCCCCTTTGTCTGAGGCCATGGCCGAAGAGACCCAACCCAAGTCGGCCGAATCCACTCCCAGCACCGAGGTCGCGAGCAGAAACTTCGCGATTCTCCCACTCTCAGCAGTTACAAGCCAAACCCACGAACCTTCGATCTCTGAACCCATCAAAAACCCCCTGAGTTAAAACCTAACCCTAATTTCCCACTCAACGAAGGGAAGACGAAGGAGGAGGAGAGGCCATGGACGAAGACTAATGAAGGTATTTTATTTTATTTTTCCTTTTTTAGTAGAAAATTTGATGAATTTGGTTGCTTCTGCTTATTTTTTTTCCCTTTCAAGAAGCAGTAAATAATGTGCTTTGTTAGACTGATTTCTTTACGTATTGAAACTGTTGCTGCTTTTGAGGTGGAGGATTCAGTTCTTGGAGAAGGGGATTAGAGATGCCCTGGTGCTGTTTGTTCAATGGTGCAGGTTACTGATCTTAAGAATACCCCCAAACCGGGGAAGAAGGAGCTCAGGATTGCTACTAAGAAAGCACTCACTCTGCTGCAGGACAATTACCCTGAGTTTGTTGCTAAGCAGGTATATTTTTCTTAAACTTTGTTGCTTCATTTGATTTTGATTTTGGTTATGAAACAAGAGATAATTTGTAGAAAACTAACTGAATTTTATTTTGTGCTTGGAGTTTGTTTTCATTTAAGTTTGAAGCATGATGTGTTTGATGTGTTTTATCTTATGTGGAATTGAATTGAAGAAACAAATACAGCAAGAAAACTTGCTTCTTGTTGGTTCTAAGTAGGAATTTATTCCTATGGGTCTGGGTTGTTGTTTTGTTTTTGAGCTTGTGTAGCTATGTAATATTTTGGTGGGAGCTGTTTTGTTTTTCCTTGCCTGTGGTTACTTGCTTGTGGATATAGCCGTTGCTACAGTGTTTTCATTTGAATCCCAAAGTTGATTTATCATTCTGTTGCTACAGAATTGACCCCAAAAAAATTCGTTTCTGAACCAAACATGGTATTAGGAATTGGACCAATTCTATAAAAGTGAGATTCCTAATCCATTGGGTGAAACAAACATAGAATGCCAAAAAAATGGGATTCCATAAAACTATAACTTGTCTATAAAAATTTTTTGGATTAGGTTGGAATCCATAAATAAAATAGGATTCCTAATCCTATTCCTACCCTCTATTGAACCAAACAGCCCCTTAATGGAATATAAAAATACCAACACGTAAATGCACATGCTTAATATCACTAACCAAATGTAAATGCACATGTTTAAGATCACTAAATGATAATTCCGATAATTTTTACCGAGTGAACTCGGCCGATTTATTGGCTTATCGCCGCTTTATCACCAATAATTACCCCAAAACGATAACCGATTAAATTTTGAACTTATCATAGTGGAAGGGCCCCAAAACCGATAAATTGTCGATAATATCGATTTATCGGCCAATATTTAAAACATTGCTTTCAATGTCTTCCAACTGTTTCTTCTCGAGCTTTTACACAAAGGATTTGACATAGCGACGTAAATAGAAAGCCTTTTTTCATGTAATCCCTTTTCTTTATTTTTCTTTCCAACAATCAAACTTAGAACACATTTGCACAGACAAAATAGGAGAATCTTAGTGACAATGGAACATATTTCCAGTAAAGACATCTGAGAAATGATGTTATTTCCTCATAGCAAATAGATTTGGAAGGGATAGAGCTCGCAACTATGCGGGACCAGGCTTGTGCATTGTTAGACAAGACCAGCATCAGCGAAGATGGATGCTTTACAAATAAGGTAAGGCAGACACAGGTTATATGAGGTGGCTGAGCTTGATTTTTATAATCTCAATTTATCTCCTTTATAAGTCAACCAACACATCATAGGGGTACTTTTACATAGGAGGTGGAAATGTT